CTGGATCTCTAAGGAGGTGCTAATCTAGCATCTGCCTGAAGCTACCCGGCAGGAGCTCAGCTGTCAAGCAATGGGAGTTGCCTAGGGGCCTTGGGCCAGCTACAGTTTGTTAGGTAATTTTCAGATTGCAAAGGACCAGGTCTTTCATATGCAAAAGCCAGCACACAGCTTAGTGGGGCGGGGTTCCCAGGGGATCAACAGGGCGGAGCAAGCAGCTATGGCTGCCCTCAGAGGCCCTGCTTCTCAGTGTCCCTGTAATCGCTGCAAGCACCTCCAAGAGAAAGCTGCCCTCGAGTTCCCACTGATGCCAGACAGTCCAGTTTCTCCCATATGATTCTGGGTTCCCAAAGACTCACCCGGAACTGGAGCTCAGAGCTTAAGACTGAAAAAGACAACCGTGTCCTCAGCCGCCAGCCCTCTCCGCATGCGCCTCTGTACTTCTGTACTTTACTTCCGCACCGCAGCTCCTCTGAGTCTCGGTATGCTTTTCTCTTTCCTTTTAGTTGTAGAATTTCCACTCAGCCAGCCTTCCTGTGGTTCTGGATGATGTCCATTCCGTCTTTTAGTTGTATTCTTGAATTGGTTGTGCTAAGCAGCAATCTCCAGTGTTTACCTATGCCGCCATCTTGGTTTTCTAGATGTAATCTTGAATTATTAAGTTTACAATTCCAAACTTGGGAAATCTAATTGAATTGTCAACAGTATAAAAGAACTTACAGGATGGTAAATTTATAGGAAAGCTTTTTTCTTTTAATATATTTTTATTGATTTCAGAGAGGGAGAAGGAGAGAGAGATAGAAACATCAATGATGAGAGAGAATCATGGATTGGCTGCCTCCTGCATGCCCCACACTGGGGATCAAGCCCGCAACCTAGGCATGTGCCCTTGACCAGAATCGAACCTGGGACCTTTCAGTCCGCAGGTCAACGCTCTATCCACTGAGCCAAGCCAGTTAGGGCAAGAAAGCTTTCTGTAGAAGTGAAGAGCCCTGCCCTTGCCAGTGTGGCTGGTTGCTGGTTTGATTCCTGGTTAAGGTATATGCCCAGGTTTCGGGCTCAATTCCCAGGATTGGGCATGTGAGAGGTATTTGAATATTTCTCTTTCTCCCCCTCTCTAAAAAAAACCAAAAAACAAAAAAAAAACCCACCACCACTAACACACACACACAAAAAAAGCCCTAAAGAAAGAAAATCACCACCACTTATGTTTCAAGATCTACCTTTAGAAGGTTTGCTTACAATGACACTAGCCTGCATCTTTTGTCCACATGTAACTGTTTTTAGCATGTGAGTATCCCCAGTAAGCCAAGATTTCCAAAAGTTCGATCGCACTTTTTATGCCATGGTAGGAGGCACATACCTGTTGTCTGACCGAATAAACTGCTCCCAGGAAAAGCTATTCTGATGGGGACAAGGAAGAAGGGCTCACCTGTGTATGGCGCATGGAAGATGATGCCTGTGTGCGCACAGACAAACTGCTCCAGGAGCTTCACGTTCTGGAGGAAAGTGGTGGAGAAAGGAGTGGGGGGAGAACAGGACCTTGAGAGACTGGCAGTGCACAATCCCTACACACCACACAGATGACCTGAACCCCTCACTGCCTCTCCAGATGCCTCTTCACATTCATGAAAACTCCAGCAAACAGTTCCCCTTTCCTGGTCTTTCACCCACTTCACATGCACACCCTACACTTTGTCACTGAGACTCAGAGAGAATGCTCCTCGCTGGGGGTTAGGCTCTGAAATCAACCCTCATGCAAAAAACTGGGGACAGTTGGCATTCTCTGAAATCACCCAGAAAAATAGTATATGTTGTAGTGTGCATGTATGAATGACTCCAATCAATTTTAAAGTTAATGATATAGAATGACTCTCAGCTAGCAAGTTAATCAAAGGAAATGAGACCCAAGGAAAACGCAGGTACATGTGGAGTTGGAATGGCAGGTAGAATCATCCACACCATTAAATTTGTAACTTTTCTCTCTCCCTTGTTATGTGATTATAAACTGTATAAAATTGGTTACAATGCCTTTTTCTTAACCAACTAGAGGCCCGATGCACGAAATTTGTGCAAGAGTAGGCCTCCGCCCCCCTGGCTGCCAGCACTGGCTTCCCTCTGGCACCCGGGACCCCAGCTTCCCTCACAGCCCCAGCTTTGTCTGGAAGGTCATCCAGTCTAATTAGCATATTGTTTTTACTAGAGGCCTGGCGCACAAAATTTGTGCACTCAGGAGGGGGGTCCCTCAGCCTGGCCTGCACCCTCTCACAGTCCGGGAGCCCTTGGGGGATGTCTGACTGAAGGCTTAGCACTGCCAAGGAGGCAGGAGAGGCTCATGCCATTGCTGCTGCACTCGCCAGCTGTGAGCCCAGATTCTGACTAAGCGGCACTCCCCCTGTGGGAGCACACTGACCACCAGGGGGCAGCTCCTGTGCTGAGCGTCTGCCCCCTGGTGGTCAGTGCACATCATAGTGACCAGTTGTTCTGCCATTCGGTCGATTTTCATATTAGCCTTTTATTATATAGGGTTATTCTAGATTGTACCCAGTTGAAATTGAGAAGTTACCTATTGGACTCCTCTACAACTTGTGTCAGAAGGGGGCTGAGAACAGTCACATGCCCTCCGACTTCTGTAGTAACCAGCTACTCAGCTTCTGATCTACTACTTCACTGCAAGCTCAGAAGAGCACGTTCCTATGACCAGCTTTATAAGGTTTTAATTCTTTAAGGAGCAAGTCCTGTCCTCCTCATAATGAAGGCTTTTCCAAAAAGTGCTTTATGTACCTGCCCTCCAGTTGCAAGTCTCAGCCTGCCACCAACCATCAACATGACAAGGAAATAAAACCTCAGGAAAAAACAGTCCAATCTACTTGCTAATAATTGTGATGGATAAAACGAATTTTTGAGCATTGTTCTCCCATTAGAAATGAGCGCTTTTCTTGCCTGCCAATTTAGACTGTCAATTTCATGGGGATAAAGCTTTTTACTATAGTCCATAGTGGAGGGCAAATGACTAGAGGGAAGATGTTTTTATAGTTCCAGGAAGCCAGTGCAAAATGGAGTGTAGGGGTGCCAGGCAATCTCTTTAGCAACATATAAAGGCTCCAAATCCTCATCCTGGAAAAAAGATTCTCCTTACCCTAAAGTCGATGTGCAACTTGTGATCCCGGCAGATAGGGCAGGGATTCCCAGCAACTTTATCTTTACGCTGTAGAGAGAAGAAATTGGAAGGTGATGATGTTCCAAGCCCTGCCAGAAGAAATGCCGCTGCCACTGTCTCTGTGGTCTCCACCCCCCACTTCCCAGCCCATCCATGTGCCACTCTCAGAAACTCACAATACAGGTCTTTCGAGTCTTCTGTGGGGGTACTCCACCTTTGTGGTTGCGTCGGTAGTCAGCCCAGACGGGGCGAGAACCATAGCGGGTCTGGTATTCTGAATTGAAAGACCACAAATGTTAGGGTGAAGGAAGTGTCTCTGTCCATTTATTTCACACCCCACAGGACCCTCCCTTCCCCACTTAGAGTTACCTTCTGAGTCCAGGTATTTCCAGGGTTCATTCTCATAAGGGGAAATGGGCAAAGAATCTTCCTCAAGGGGGGCTTCAGTGCTAAGAGTTTGGAGGGGAACCTATAAAAGGGGAACAACAAAAAAATGAACTCAAAGCAGAAACCTGATTGTTTTGCTCCCAACACTTCAGGGAGAAGGGGCACGCACATCCATTGTGTTAATGGAATATAGCATTGTATGTATACGTGTACACACACACACACACACACACACACACGGAAGGTAGCATATTTGTTGGGGTTAAACTGACATTATCAACAACAACTCTCCCAATCTCCAACTGGGTCCTGAAAGATGCTAATATTAGAGGATAAGTACAGGTGACTGAGAGGCCATCTTACTGGGGAGGGCAACTTAAAAACCTGGCACATATCAGGTATTCATGCTTTTGGGGATGAATTGAGTCTAGTGGATGAAAAAAAGCAAAGAAAGGAAAAGTGGGGGTGTCTATCTCCTTGGAAGCAAGATGTATGGCAGGGAAGGGATGGGAGGGCAGGTGCATCTCCAGCTCAGCCCAGTCTGGGATCACTGTGCTCCCCAGCTTTACAGAAGCTGAAGGTCAACATTCCACAGGGAAGAGCAAACTTGAGTCCTAACGCCAGCTGTAAAGCTACCAGGCCTGTCATTAGCTCCGCAGTGACCCTGTGGCCACTCTTCAGTCCCCCTGGGAGTGGCAGCTGGGCAAGCCTTCCAATCCCCCCGGCCCACCAAGGACCGTCAGAACGGTGAGTCCATGAGGCTGGAGGGAACCCTCGGTCCAAAGGACTGCGTTAACCCTTCGCAAAGGCTCTGATCACCAGCTGATCTAGTGGGATGGAGGGCTGAGAAACCGTCACCAGGTGGAGGTGATGTGCCCTGGCTCTCCTGAGAGATAGCAGGGCTGGGCAAGTCGGTGCGGGGACCCCAGGGCATCAGATTAGACACCGTCTGTGTAGCTGAGTTGGCTGTGCGAGCCAGGATCGGAGGGGGCATTCCTCGCCTAGTTGCTTAGCCAAGATGCCCATTTGGGAAGAGAATAGGATCTAAACCTGGCTCTTTGCCCTGGCCGGATGGCTCAATGGGTTGGAGCGTCCTCCATACCACAAAGGTTACTGATTGCAGGGCACATACCTAGGTTGCCAGTTCGACCCCTGGTCGGGGGCGCGCACGGGAGGCAACTGATCGATGTTTCTCTCCCTTCCTTTATTTTTTTTTTTATTTTTTTATTTTATTGATTTTTTACAGAGAGGAAGGGAGAGAGATAGATAGTTAGAAACATCGATGGGAGAGAAACATCCATCAGCTGCCTCTTGCACACCTCCCACTGGGGATGTGCCCGCAACCCAGGTACATGCCCTTGACCGGAATCGAACCTGGGACCTTTCAGTCCGCAGGCCGACGCTCTATCCACTGAGCCAAACCGGTTTCGGCTCTCTCCCTTCCTTTAAAAAAGTCAATAAACTTACCCTCCGATGAGGGTTTTCTAAAAATACACGGAGATTTACGGAGGAGCAGGGGAGAGGGGTGGAGGCAAAGTATTGCCTAGACAGCGTAGGCATAAGCACTAGGGGAAGTCTCCGCTCCCCGGTCCCCAGAAGTGGAGCGACGACCTAGAAGGCATAACTAAATAGTGGTTGTACAAAATGTGCTCCAAGGAGTTACCTGAACTCCGTAGGCACTCCTGAAGGACGAGAGCTTAGGAAGGCGCCTCAGCAGTTTATTCACCACGGAGGCCGCCATCTTGACGCACGCCCAAACCAGGAATGGCCGGCAAGGCTACTGCGCATGCTCCCGGAAACTGACTAGGGTGGGGGCAAAGACCCGCCGCAGTGTGGCCGGCAGCCACGCACTTGCGTCAGGACGGAAGCGAGAAGGGGGCGGGTCATGGAGAGACGCTAATTTCAACTGCGTCACAGTGGAATTCGGCCTCAAAACTGAGTTTTTGATGAACCAGTCACGACGATTCTTAGGTCTCATACTTAGAGTGAGCCTTTTAAGCAATTTTGAAGGCGATTTTGGCCGAGGTTCCCACAGTACGCATGCGCCGGCCCAGTTCCGCCAACCGAGGATGAGAAATATTTTCGGGGGCGGAAGTGGTGAAGGCAGAGGAAAGGGAGGTGCTAGTCTCTCCAGTTATGCGCACGCGCGTCCCGAGGAGGCGGGAAAATGTCCAGAGAGTGACGGGAAGTGGGTAGTGGGCTGAGCGAAGGTGAAGGAAGGATAGCCAATCAGCTAGTGCGTTGTCTTTCGGGTTAACCAATGAATTTACGCCTCGCGCACAATGTCTCGCGACAAGGGAAACGCACTAACACATTTGGGCGCATTGGGTGGTGTCCGGGTATAAAAGGCTCCGCCCGCGCGGACAGCCGCCATTCTGGGGTTCGTTTAGAGGTAAGTTCTTGTGTTTTGTCGGTTGGGGGTTAAGATTTTACTGAGAGCGTTGGCCTGGGAAACGGATTTGGCATGGCTTTCCTTAAGCGCCTCGGCTTATCTAAAGTTCCGGACTGGTCACGGAGGTCTTTGAGACCGCGAAAGCGGTCGTCTGGGGTGTGTTTAAAAAGCAGCCCGTACTGATTACCTCTTCCTCCCCTTGTGTTCTTTCTATCCCAGGTTTGAATTTTCACGGAGAAAGACAGGCCGGCCACCAGGAAAAAAGAAACGAGCCGCATCCACATCTAAGCCCTTGAGAGGATCCTGAGCGGGGGGAAAGGGGAACCGCAGCCACCAGCCCAACCACTGTCTTCTGCCCTCTCCCACCTCTTTGCCCACCCACCAGCCCACGCTGCTTGGGACTTGAAATCTGTGGCCGAAGGACCGTCACCACATAACTGCAAAAATAATCCACCACCCTCCCTTCCCAAACCCACCCAAGTCCACTTATCCAGCGTTTATTTTTTTTTTAATCAACTCAGAACTTTTTTTTATGACCCCCCCTCCCTAAATGGAGTTGGGTGGGGGGGGGTGAATGCTGAGTTGGCCTTTGTTTTTTTTTTAAAGACTTTTTGATCCAATGAGGCCCCCCAAATAGAGTTTTGGGTTCTGGTTGGTGGTTTTATTTTTTTTTCTCCAAAATTTTAACCCCCTTCCCCCTGAGCCCGAGGTGCTGACGTCGCAAAAAAATTGGATAGTAAGTGTCGAATTTTGAAAAACGAGCCTTGCAACAAGAAATCAACGTTTCCCTTGGTGAAACCAAAAATAATGAGAGGAAGAAATGAGACCATAGAACAAAATAGAGAACTGGAGGAAGGACCGAGCCGGTCCATCTCCACTAAGAGGGGCCTTTGGCTCCAAGCCTCGTTCTCTGCCACCTGCCCTGCAGGCGGGAGGCCAGCGAGGGAGGATTTGACGGTTAACCCTTCGCAATCCAGCCATTGCCAGACTGCCCGCGCCAAGTGCTCTGTACGGAGGGTGCCCTCCCTCGGCAGCAGTCTCCAAAGGGTTAATGAGCTCACATACAAAAATGGGGGATCTTGTGCTCCGGAGGCCCACTTCTTTGTGTGTGAGACGAGCAGGGCGCCTTTCAATTTGCCAGATTAATAAGCAATCTGTACATAAAGATTGCAGGGTAAGGAGATGGGCACAAGTACTAGCTGGCTGTGACTTAGATTGTTAAATCCTCTCAATTTAATGTATGTGCTTGGGGTATATTTGTGGTTAAAGTAGGTGGCAATCTAGAAATAAAGATTGCAAGACACTTAATTCAGGACAAAATATAATCTTAGTGCCAGTACATACAAGATAATAGTTTAAATGTTTTGTAATTGTTGGAGATTGCATAAGTTATTTAAAAGCAAAAGGTTAACATTTTAACGATACTTTTTGATGGGAATAGAGGGTAGGGAGGGTGGGAAATGTGGAATTCAGGAGTATAATTTTTAAAGCCATTTAGTGCACTTGAATGCTAGCTTTCTAGGAGATTTGTGTCGTTAAAGGATTTCTTTTCCTTCCCTGCTTCAATATGGCGACTTTCCTTGTCCTTTTGTCTTCCAAGCAGTGTTGCAGGTTGTGTCTCCCATTTTGTCCTCAAACCCTGTCCGTTGAGGGTCCAAGTCCCCCCTCCTTTTGTTCGGAGGGTGGGGGTGGTCGATGGTAGGTTGAACCTCAATTGCAAGTTAGTTCTTCCCCGCATAAAATTGTTAATATTTTAATTGCTTTTACTTTCACAACGCTCTTATTCATAATAGGTCAAAGACTTCAGGATGGGGGACTGGGATAGGATTATTACTGTGTTTTCACCACCCCCCCCCAAAAGTGTTCTTTGCTGTGACCAGCGGCGGCGGGGGCCTGCTGCGGCTCCGTGACAAGATGGCGCCCTGC